TGGATCCATATGTCAAGTTGGTATTCCCATTATATCCCGATCTATCGATGGTTTCCTACTATATATTCCCAGTATATACTCTTGACATCATCAATCCCCTATGTTTCCTGGTTGTATTCCTATTTATAGATAATTTCCCATGAGGTTCTCATATATTCATGATATTCCAATTGTGTTCCTATCTATTGATGGTTTCCTACTATAATGTCAACCCTGGATTAATAAACCCCAAACGGCTGTTTAATTGGGAAGCTACCATTTAAATATCAAATGAAATGACTATTGGAGGAGTACCTCCCTAATTAATAAACCATGGTTTTAATTTATCCGGGGCTGACATTAATTTCTAATCCTTTCGATGATCCCATTGCTGCCTGTAACGGACGACTAGGTCCCCCAACCCATTGCGCAGCACCCCAGTGATCACTGGGCACGCTGCCATGGCTCCCTTAACGGCTCCATGACCGGTGCAGCCCGCTGTACAAAGAATTTGACACCTTGGTCCAACACATGTATATATTTGTTTTCATGTACTTACAGATATGTAGTTACATTTATTGATAGATATGTATATATATATACAGTATACATACATTTGTATACATATTAAGAAACTGGTCTTTTTAAGACAAATACTTCGAGCCTGCAGTGTGCTGGCACCTTTCTAGAGTACTTGCGACTCCAATGCCGATGTCCATCTGAAACTGACTGGTGAATATCCACACAGTCTCAAGTCTGGCTTGTTAAGTCCAATGATTGATGACCAGCGATGGCTGATATCCCCAAGTTTTTGGGTTTGATATTCCCAATGATTGAGGATGACTGATGGTTTGATGATCGATGGCTTGTGTTTAGCTCCTTTCTCACATTCTACCAGTAAACAACCATGTTTGAAACCACCAACTAGCAATAATATTGACAATTATTGATTATCATTAACCATTATTTACCATAGGAAACCACCATTATTAACCACCATTATTAACCATGCTACTACAGGCCCTGCAGCAGTCGGGCTTTGCGACCGCCAAACAAAAACTCCCTTGAGCGCGGTCGGTTGCCGAAACAGGTCGCTGAAAATGGCAGTTCAAACTGGGGATTTCATGTGTTAAACAACCACATGTGTGATTCAACAAATTTATAACCAACCAAAATGAGCCTTCAATCCCCTTGAACACCGTTGCGGAACCACAATTTATATCATTGCTAGGCACAGATGGGATCGCTAGGCTCCAGAATCGGGCGCTTCATAGGTGATTTGGAGGACGGAATCTCGCAAAGAACTTGCCAAACTTGTTGTTACTGCAACATGATCCCCGGAAACAACCACTGTTTACATATGTTGATATATGTTTATGCATGTACGTTAAACTTTGTATATAAATGTAATAATGTCTATAGTTCTTTGTATATAACTATGCGATATTGTATGTAATGTTATGTAATGTGATGTAATGTAATGTAATGTATGTGTACGTGTTGACATGTTTATATACGTTTCTATAGGATCATGGCCAATCTGAGGCTGCCAAGGATTAGCCATGATTAGCCACCCAGAGCAGCTGACCATGTGAACATAGGAGGACGAGGTCTTGGGCAAGCCCAGGATGAAAACGACCTGGCAATTTGAAGGAAAGACAGCTCCGAAACGTCGAAGAAATATGATAGAATATATATATAATATAATGGATGATATGTAATGGTTGAGACATGATATAACATGTTGATAATCATGTTTGTATAGTATATAGTATATAGTATATAGTATATAGTATATAGTATATAGTACATAGTACATAGTACATAGTATATAGTATATAGTATATAGTATATAGTATATAGTATATAGTATATAGTATATAGTATATAGTATATATATAGTATATATATATATATTATATGTACCGCACAGATGCTATATATATAATGGTCAAGATATAATAGTTTATAATGGTTGATCAATATTTAATGGTTGATATGTAAATATATATATAAATATATGTATATACATATGTATGTATATATATACACATATATATATATATGCAGGTATATACATCTATATATATATACACTTTAGGATATATATATATATACATTATATATTATATTGGCTGATATATAGAACAGTTGCTATACAATGGATGATATATATATATATTATAATGGACGATATGTGATGTTTGATATCTAATGGTTGATAATCATTGATATACTGGTTTTTATAGATTCATATAATATAGATAATGTGAACCCGCAATTTACGAAGCCTTGTTGACTACTTAAGGGTCTCTAAAGTCATCCATTTTGGGGTCATCATCACCTGTGGCATATCTAAACTCATATTCAATGGTCGACTCTGGCCATCTATTTAGGCACTTGAAGTTAAGACAACAGAGCCAAAACTGCAGTCTTGATAAGTCCGAGAATCAGGAGTATTTTCTAATTGTTCTATGTATCCTGAATATTGAGGTACGGTCGACCGCATGGCGCATGGAAGTTTGACGCACGCTATCTTCTGGGAAACTGAGCAGTGCAGGGTCCTTTGTTTGTAGGAGTAGAATCTAGTGAGGCTAAAGCATCAAATAAGCACTCCCACAAAGAAGAACCCATTCGCAAATACGACCAAATAATGGGTAGCAACGGAACTTTGAGAATGTGAAGTTCATGGGGATCCAGCCATCACCGTGTGGTATGCTGAAGGGGAACATCCCAGTGATACCAGTTGTGGTGACTGGTGCCCTAAGGCGATACTGTTATATTACAACTGCTGGAAACACAGGCCTTAAACCGAGGACCCAAACAAGTGAAATGAACACAAAGCACTACTAGTTCATGAGTTCATACTACAGCACCCATGAACACCCCATGTTTGCCTTGTAAATCAAGAACCATATAGATAAATCGTCATGATTTCTCTGATAAATATTCATAAAAACATTATTCTCTCCGATCATCATAGCCTATGGATCCATGGCCACTGTCTGAGAAGGTACTTTTTTAATCCCCTAAACATACCCCAGTCGTACTTCCTGAGAAGGTACGGCCGGATGCATCGGGATGAATAAATCAATATAATTCATATTACCCTCTGGTAAACTAACATAGCTATTGAAAATGGCCCATTTATAGCGGATTTTCCCAGCTAGAAACCTCCATTTATTTTGGTGATTTTCCATGGCTATGTTAAATAACCAGAGGGTAAATCATCCCAAAGTTCACCACCGCAGCCGCGCCGCGAAAAGGCCTCCACCGCGTCCAAATGGAGACCTCTCACCGACTCCTGGGTTGGAAAATGCCCAACTTAGGATTTAGATGACATATTAGATACCCTCTAGTAATTTGTTACATAGCTATTGAAAATTGCCATCTATAGTGGATTTTCCCATTAAAAATGGTGATTTTCCATAGCTATGTTAAATTTCCAGAGGGTATAGAACATAGTTATGGTATGTTCTGGTATTTAGATGATCTGGTAATCAATAGTAATGGACATTTAGATGATATCCATGTCTTATTCAATAACCATCAATGACCATTAAATATACATTACTAGTTTATTCCAGTATTTTTCAGTTTAAATATGTTGTTGCAAAGATATAGGATTATATAAGATGATACAAGATTATATAAGATGATATAAGATGATATAAGATGATATATAATCTTGATATAAAATGATATAGAAATGATATGTGTTTGGAAACTGTAGTATTCCTCAGAGATAAAATATTATATAAGATGATGCTGATATAACAATGTTGCAGACTTGGATCCGGTTGCAATGAGAAAACTCTATTTCCGGATCGGAAACCGTTTACATGAATATCACGGGAACACGAATTGCTGGCTTTCGCAAAGGGTGTGTTGAATTCTGAAGCAGACTGAAGCATCCGTTTTGAGATTGTGCTCATTCTCACCGACGCCCATCTAGGGGAGTCATTAATATCAACAGAAATCGTGTGTGTGTGTGAGCTATTGTCAAGCAACCCATGTAGGTGGCTGGCGGCTGATAGAACGCCGCCAGCTTTCGTGCGTTTTTCTGTCTCGCCTACTTTTTCGCACGCGCTCTTGCTCTGTCGATGGGTGGGGGGGTGGGGTGGGGGGGGGGGGTATTAACGTCATGTGCACCAGTGCGTCGAACACGCTCTGCGTTTCTTCAAGTAAGTTCTAACACGCTCTTGATGTTACGCTCTGCACTTCTTCAAGTAACTTCTAACACGCAGGAACTCAATGTATTGATCGGCATTGGAGAGGATTAAAAGAATTCATTGGATCAACTTTCCCTCGCAAAATCAAAGGGAACTTAGGATCCAAGATGCACCCAGAAATCGATACTTTGATAAAACCATGGTTGTACAGAATTTGGACACCTTCATCTAGTCCCTACGAAGTCTATCAAAATTAAACTCACGTCCTGCAACGCTTGTGATAGAAAGAGATACACACTTACAGATACAACATTGATAAAACAAAGTAGTTTGTGCAGGATTTGACTGGGTCCAAAAAATGGACAAACGCAGAAGTCCCTGAGAAAACATAGGGAAAGTGAACTTGCAACGGTTGGAAAAAACAGGCGGCGTTCTATCAGCCGCTTACCATGTAGGTGATTAAGAACATAAACTTGGTACCCTCCGATAATCAAACATGGTAATGGAAAGTTTTCCATTTCAGTAGGAATTTAAGTGAAACTAATATAAACTAATCAACAAAAATGTGGCATTCTTCATTGCCATGGTTAACTATCAGAAGCTAATATTACCCACAGCTACCCAAGACAAAAATGCCTTAGGTCCAGATCTTGATGGACATCATGTCTTACCAAACAAGGGGTTTGTAGGCAATGTGTTCATCGTGAAAAACCGTTAAACCACCATTTTTTAGTATACAGTCCAATTATATCCAATTTTTCCATGTCTTTCGCGCAGCCAAGAAAAATCGAAATGTTATGACTGTTATGACACGTTGGACACCCGAAAAAATCGAAAAAAACTTTTCTTTCACATCCTTGGAATCTTTAAGATCCATCCGTTTGGGAAACCCAAAAAGTTCCGAAGCCCCTTTTGAGATCCACCGTCCTCCGCGCTTACGAAGATGGGTGCCTGAGCCATGTCATCAAACCGGTAAGTCACCATGGAGGTTTTAAATGGCGTTAATATGTTTTAATATGTTTAAGTACGGTTTAATGTGTTTTAATGGAAAACTCACCAATGATTTGAACGTACCAAAATGATTAATGACCCACCCCAAGTCCATCCAATATCCCAAGTCTGAAAGGAATGCTTTCATACAGAATGTGTTTAAGTGGCAAGGGGTATGCTTAAGGTTTACAGTATAGCCCAAAAAATAATCCAATTAAATGTGGTTGTCTTTTTCCATTGCCATGCTGGCTTTTTGATATCTATGTTGATTGTCAATTAACAGCAGGGACTGTATCTTTAACCAACCATCCACAAAATCCCAACATGTGTCATTAAGGACATGAAAAGTCAGCCTCCCATGTAGACCCATGTAGGATAAACGAAGCACCATTGAAATCAGTGACCAATTGGTTTTGTTGGTCTCGTTCTATCCATTGACAATCCTGAAACATCCTAAACACGGACCGTTTACAACTTTGTCGCATACCTGGATGGTCAAGATTGGTCAAGTGACCAACAAAGCCATTGATAACCCCAACGATTTTAGGGACAGTACACATGATACCACCAGGGAGCTACGGGTAATGGAACATGATCCGTATCTTGAATAGATCTTGAATAGGACAACTCCATACTCAACGCCGGCGAAGGCCCCCCATAATGCCATAGGAATAGTGATTTTTCCCATTAAACATGGTGGATCTTTCCAGTTCGTTCTGTGACTGACTGTGACTGTTTACCAGAGGGTAAATCTCCATTAATCACAACTGATAATTATTTATGATTATTACTTTATTAACCACTATGTTTAATGGGAAAAATCATCAAGCCACTTTTGACTTGTCTGATTCGACTCATCTTTCGACTCATTTCCAAAGGGTTTACCGGCCTCTCGGTAGAAGTCACCTTCTTGGCTATAGCCACGCCTTGGGATTGCGTGGCTAACCAACAAAAAACTCGGGCTCCAAAAAAGCCATTTCCACCGAATATTGCAATATGTACCCCAAACGAAACCCTGGTTGACTATTCGATCTATTCATTTTGAAGCCAATATGGACATTAGGGTAATTATGAGTTCAAGAGGATCTTTTCATAAATCGAGGTGCCAAAGAGCTGGAATGCAGCCAAGAAAAACATATAGTAATTTTCTCAATTGCGGTGATTTATATGTCATATTCTTCTTGGGTCTAGCATACCATGTTAACTTTCCACTTAATTTCCCATGCGTTTCTGGGGAAATTCCCATTGGCCAACTCAGGACATGTTGGTGGCACATTCTGGGATGGGAAAAAACGTGTTAATAAAATATAAATATGATCAGTTCGGGTGATTGTAACAATATACAATATATATATATATGTGAAAAAATGTGGTGGTGATTAACATACCAATAGAATCATGATGTGAAATGTGACATGTTAAATGTGATCAACAAATATATGTTAACCATCATTTGTGATTCCTGGTATTCTGTTGAGCTCCTACCAACACTTCAACCTGTTCATATTTCGCGTTCGGTCATGTCGACCCATTGGAACCAGCCCCCAACAATAGCTAAGTCCAAGCGTAGCAGCTTTCAGGATGAAAGTCCATCTAGTCTTTCCAGCAGTTGTGGTTGGCAAATCCTCTGATTCCACGGGATGTCAATTGTACACCTCCCAAAAAGACAGACATGGTGTAATTTCTGTTCAATTTACCACTATCTCATAGCAGGATGTTACATGTCTATTTGTTGTGGGGGTTTGCTATCTATCCATTTATATGATATATTATGATGAGTATATAATACATATATACTGTATACATACATATCAGTTATGGCCCAACTCCATCCAGCCATCGTAACTCGAACTCCAAGTGTAAGAATTTATGTCATCAAACAGTACGAAACAATTTTAACCATCGATTCATCAATTCATCCATCCGGTGAATTGAGTTGCGGTCAAAACATGTCAAAACCCTCGTTTCACAAATGACTGGTTAAGAACGGGATTCCCAGTTCATGAGAATCCCAATAAAATCCCCAAGTACTTAATTATTAATCCCTTTCCCCTGTGTAAGATGTAGAGTTCCCATTTAATATGATCCAAGATATGTGTAACCTAAAAAAAAACTAAACCATAGGATTTCTGGAGGCTTAATTTTCATATGTCCCATGAAAACAATCATTTATAGCTGATGGTCACTGATTGTCCCATTAAAACTTCCAGGAAATAGCTGATTCTCCCATTCAAACCTCCATTTTTAGATGATTTCCCCAAAAAAAACACCATATTTATAGCCAATTGTCCATGTTTTTGCCACCGGTACACCATGGTACACCAACCATAGCATCAACAGCCGACCCAAGCAACTTGGTGGCATCTCGCAGTTCCACGAGGCGATTGGCACTCCGCCAGCCCTTCGCCTCATGGCCACTCTGGGCCCCTTTGGGCTGTGAAAGCCAAAGTGTCATATCTATAGCTGATATAGGCTGATAATGGCTGATAATATGACGTATACAAACAGAGGTATATATATAATTATATACAATTATATATAGTTCATGTATTTTTACGTTTTTAATCTATAGAGCATCTTAAATATAAGATCAGATATTCAGAGTGATTTCTGGTGGAAGCTCAGGTCCAGCCTCGCCCTTCACCTGCGAAGCCTTCTTCCCAGGATTGGTACTGCGAGAGTCAGGGAATAGCCTCAGATCGGATCCAGGTCCCTCAAAACGATTCAAAACGCAGACGACCAAGACATGTCCAACTTCCAACAAACACCTGGACTGCATAAATCATGATGAAAACAAAAAAAAGTTGTCTAATTAATAATTAGAAGATGATGTCACCCAACGGGAAAAATCGAACGACATGAGCAAAATTGGGTGCATACTAAACAAGCATTACTGCAACAGCAAGTGAAATAAGAGCATCAACAACAAAGAACAAATCCGGAAGCAACAAGTAGCTGCAATAGCCGCCCCACATTTAATTCGAAATATCAGCATAGTTCGTTATATGTATAATCATATTTCAACATATGTCATCATATCTCTGCTACTTCTGAGGTTAGGTATCAAGTGGCTGCTGACCTTCTGCCGAAGCGAATCGGAATGATAGAATCCACAGGGAGGACGTGAGACACACCTGCGGAAGTCTTTGTTCGCTGTTCGTTGTTTGTTGTTCGTTTGCTGTTGCTGTTGCTGTTGTTGCTGTTGCTGCTGTTGCTGTTGTTGCTGTTGCTGCTGTTGCTGTTGTTGCTGCTGCTGTTGCTGTTGTTGCTGTTGTTGCTGTTGTTGTTGCTGTTGTTGCTGTTGCTACAACCAAAAAGATGATGGGCTAGCGGCTAGAAGATTCTACAAGCATCTACACTCATCTACAGCCATACCAGACCCCCACAAACAGCACAACCCGGATCGACAGCCGCCCAGGTGCGCTCTCGACAAGGTATCCACATTGGACCATCCAGCTGTCGTGAGGTCCTGCTCAGAAACTTCCGCGGAAAACCGCACGTCATGTGGAAAAGTGTGGTTGGTTCATCGATGTTAATCATTCAAATCGGTATTCCCATCATATAGTGGTTTTAATATGTTACCATAAACCCTCAATCTAATCATCAACCACCGGACGTGTTGAACACTGCTCAGTCAGCATTCATTCTTGCCACATTGATCTTAATCTGTCTTAACCAACAATAATATCCCAAGAAAAAAATATATCTTGAAAGTCTTGAAACACATGTTGTCACATGGCTATGCCTCAAAACCCTGGTACCATAGGTACCCAAAAAAATAGCTGGTTCATGAATGTTTATTCCCCCAATATTAGGTAATAATATGGTAATAATAGGTTTTGACCATTTTTGATGGTAATTTCATAGGTTTTGACCCATCCCCACATGATCTTGAAAAAAAAATGAAAAACCATGGGAAAGAAGATCCCCAAGAAGTGGCTGAACGACTGGATCCAATGATCCACTGATCTCCCTGCCTTCACAACGCCCTTCACCTTGGTCCCAAGGATGATGGGCTACCCGGCATCTTTGTGTTTTAAGGCTGGGTAAACAATTAAAATAACCAGCTGGTACAAGAGGATTTCTCAAAAATGGGTAAACTATGGTAAACTCATAAAATCCTAAATGTTTTTAAGGCTGCATACTACACATGTCCCCTATTTTTGATGCTTGACTCCCCTTCAGCAACCACGTCCGGATGATCCTGAAAGTCAGTAGGAACTTGGTATCATTGGTATCATTACTGTTTTTAATCATCAACTATTTATAGATTAGTAAGCTAGAATATAAGACTAGTATATAATTTAATTATGGCATAGTGATTGGTATAATATTCCTAGTAACTAATAGTAGGTGTCAACTTGATTAAATTTACCTATACTGAGACTGGTAATCATGTACTAGCTTCCAAAGTCATCCATCTACTGTTTCCCCATCATTTACATAAACAGCGTTGCTTTGGGTTCCCCTTTTTCACTTGCCGAAAATCATCAGCTTTTAAGCGGGCTGACCCACCAGTCACCAACAATTGACTAGACCCCCCATGTTTGATCAGGTTTAATGGGTTCAAAACCAGAAGCGCACAAAAGTTCACAAAAAAAATATTCCATAACCCCCAAAATCATGTTTCACGGTTTTCATACATGTGAAATACATCTAGAACCAGCATTTTCATCCATCTAGAACCACCATTTTCACCAACAGCATGTTTCATCCGGCGGCGCTTTTGGCGGCCAGCCACGCTCTCCCCTGCATTGGGACACACGAAGATCAGCGCGGACTCGGGTCGCAAAATGTCCAGAGCCGCTGCCACTGCAGCAGCGTGGCTGCCACTCAATGGCACCTATGGCGCGCTACGAATGGGAGTTGAGCTGGAAAAATGGTGAAAACTAGCAGTTCGATGTGGAAAATCAGAGGTTTTTTCACATAAACCATAGGTTTTCCACATAAACCATTTATAGAGCCTACGTTTTCTTCATAAACCATAGGTTTTCATAGGTTTTCCACATCTGTTGTACTGATTTCCCGCTACAAAACACTGCTTTTTGCGGGTGAGCTGTTGTGAGTTGAAGTTTTTTTGGGTCATTTGAGACCATCATACAGCCACTACAGAGATTTGCTGACCCTCGGACCTACACGAACTTCAGATGGCAAGGGAAGAAAACACCTAGTTTTTGTAGGTATACCCAGTTTTTGGCAGACGTCATGGGAACATTCTCCGTAGATCTTCCAGCAAGCCATGGCAGCACTCGATCCCTGTGGCGATTTGAAATACCATCTGGCGCTGGAAAATCTCTGGGAAAACCCACCATTTTTTCTTTGAGTTTCCCATGAAAACCTCCAGTATAGATATTTCTATCGGATTTCCCACCCATGTTTGATGACAGCGCAGGGTATCGTTCAATGGTACCCCTCTGCACCTTCCAAGTGTAGTGCTGGATCCCAGCCTCATGTCAGTTTCTGCCATGGGGAAAGTGTTGCCAGCGACAAGTGGGAATCAGTGGGAATCTAACAGAATGTGTATAACATTATATATAACTATAACAAACATATCCACCATTTGTTCTCTGGATGTTTACCCCCCCCTTTCCGCTCGACATTGGGTCAAAAATGGATGATCCACTGGTAGCATCGCTGAATATCAGCGATCACCCAGCGGAGCAGATCAGCCCAAATTGACTGAGTTCGTTTCTAAAATCTCAGGTTATCCTATTGAAGCATATGTCTGTCTGTATGTATATATTTATATTTTTATCATTTATATATATATATATATCATATATATGTTATTATAATCTTAAATATAATTACAACATAAATACAGTACATGTATATATATAAATAAATACTACTAGCCCGCATGTTCATGGATGTTCATCCAGGTCCATCAGTCATCATGCCCAGAATCTGGTAGAGCACGGTAGCTGCTCCTCCCCGGGATCCGCCTTGGCTGCGCACAAATCCATGAGAAAGACCAACAAAAAAACAAACACAGAAATCCATGAATCAATCTGGAAAACTCGTCATTTTCAGTTTTAGACTATTCATACTATTCATCTGACTCTAAGTTTTGTCCTTGGTCCCTAGGCGCCATTTTCTTTGGCTATCTGCCGCCGAAGTGAAACAATTCGATTGTTTCACCCGATGACTCGATGACTTGATCCATGAAACAGTCAACAGGGTTGATGTTTTTTATTGTGTCGCATATCAACATTTTGTTGCAACACAATCTGCAGATACCTAATTAACATGTCAATCATGTTGTTGCACAATCTAATGTTTATTGATTTAAACAAATATATGCAGATTGATTCTCTAATTCTCCCCATTTTGTTGGAACTTCGGCATGGTTCAAAATGAACCAACCCCAAAAATTTAAGATGCTAAAAAAAATGAAAGGAACAATTTCAAGCGGTACCCCATTTTGGATTTTGGATGTGTCACAAAAAAAAGGTGCGCCAAAAAACAAACACACACACACACATCTATATAATTTGGACAATTATGATTAACCCCAAGCTTTTGGGGCGCCCTACGGTCAAACAAGGTCAATGGGTGAGAAAAAGGTTCATGTATCATCAATTATCATCAACCAGCCCTCATCAATTCTGTCACCCATACATCATGGTTAAGACACCTAAAATCGTTCAATAATATTCAATCATATTCAATCCGTTTTCTGGAAACTACTATTAAGATCTCTTAAGAATCTTACCCAACCCCTATGCCTTTTAGGTTTAAATAACTAATTACTCCACAACGTCCCCGAAGCGCGGATCGTTTCGCACCTGCCCACTTCGCTGTCGCCGTCGCCCTCATCGCCTCGATCGCCCTGAGCAGCGCGCGCAGCGGCAGCAGCTTGCAGCACGGCGGCAGTACTGCGCTGGGGATCCTGAGAAAACGGCCGTGGAACATCCGCCAAAAATGGAGAAAATGATGGAAAATATATGGGAAATGATGGAACATGACGGGAAAATGATGGGAAAATGATGGGAAAATCGTTTTTTTTGAAAATCTATGGGATTTGTTGGGACGTATATGAGTGAACATCCAAAAAACATGGAGAAACACTAACCAAGGGGTATAACTAACCAACTACAGATTAACAATATGGTTAACAAAAAAAATGGGAAATGGTTGGGAAATGTCTTTTGGGAAATATATAAACTTACAGATCTGAATGTGGGAATTCCAATGCCATAAACCTACCATGACTGGGGATGGTTGGAATCCCACCCATTTCTGTAGATTGTGGATGAAATCCTGATCAACCAATGGAATATCTACCGGATTGTTACATGTTGCCAATGTTTCTTCACTTTCAATCCTCAGTGATTTAGTTTCAGCCACCTCCCTCACCCTACCACGAACTGGCGTGGGAGCGAATGGTGTCAACCAAAGTTGACTGCTATAGGCTATAGTGGTTTGAAAACAAGTGGGAATGGTGCGATTCTGCATCCTTTGGTTGAGCTACACATCTCTAAAACATCCGGTATGATAGTTGGTGGATGTTGGTGATTTTTTACGACTCTTCTACCTGTGAATTTTTCTTTGCCATCTAAGCTTGGAATCCCCCAAACATCAGAGGCAGTGAGTTTGTCCACAAACTGCGGATACCCCATTCTATAACCCAATCAAGATAGAACTGCACCGGAAGACGGCATAGATTCTATGTTTTCTCATGTTTTCACCAAAAAATCCAGATTTTTTTCGTTCCATTCCTTTTTGGGGGCGGAGAAACATGGAATTTTCCTCAATTGAAAAACACATCAGAGCAGTTCCGGCAAACTCAAGACTTTACCAGGCCAAGTGTCTAGCCTTGGCAAAGGCACTGGAAATCGTTTCAACTTATCTCGCTGCATCACTTGTTCAAGCCTTCAGAAAGCTTTTCGGGCCCTGGGGTGCCACAGGCAGAATAGTTCAGCAACATTCCATATGAACGATCTAGTCTATACCCAAATCATGGGTTGATCTCGCCTGAAAACTCGCAACTCACGAAAATTTCATGAAATATTGATGATAACTGATGATATGTGGATGGACTATTCACAAAACGCAGGTACTGTGCCCTAATAAAAAACAACATAAAAAAAAAACGATAAAACACATTTAATTTAAAAAACACATAATTTGTATGAAAAACAATGTTTTTTGTTTTAAATGAACAAACTTGTTTTTTTGATAAAAAAAACATAAAACTTTCATATTTTATGAGTTTTTATGATTTGTTTGGAATACTTTTGAAACATGTTTATAAATTGTACATAACACATATATATATAATATAAATCTACCAAAACAAAATCACCACAAAAAATACCAACAAATGTGTAAAATCATTACAAAAAAAAAACATTAAAACAAAAACATCAGGGAAAAAACAAAATCATTAAAAAAAAAAAATCATTAAAAAACCATAAACAAAATTTGCCCCTTAACAGTTAAGGCATATACAAACTCACAAGAAGAACATCAACTTATCTTCATAAGGGAATGGTGCCTCGGTTGTGCACGCGAAAACTGACTTGGTTGTGCACGGGAAAAACTACTCAGTTATGCACACCGATGATGATGATGATGATGATAATGATGATGATGATAATGATGATGATGCTGGTGATGATGATGATGATAATGATGACGATGCTGATGATGCTGATGCTGCTGATGATGATCATCATGGTGATGATGATGCTGATGCTGATGATCATGGTGGGGATGATTATGGTGAGGATGATGATGGTGATGATGATGATGCCGATGATGATGATGATGGTGATGATGATGATGACGATGATGATGATAATGATGATGATGATGATGATGATGATGGTGATGATGATGATAATGATGACGATGCTGATGATGCTGATGCTGCTGATGATGGTCATCATGGTGATGATGATGCTGATGCTGATGATGATGATCATGGTGGGGATGATTATGGTGAGGATGATGATGGTGATGGTGATGATGATGATGCCGATGATGATGATGATGATGATGACGATGATGATGATGATGGTGATGAGGAGGAGGAGGATGCGGTTGTTTCCCTATAATGAATTTGAAGAAAGGTTGTAGTGGGTAGATCCTACCCTTTTCTTTCCTAGCAATCATACCGCCTTGGGAGGTTTGCCTGGGGATTCAGGTGTTGCTTGCATGGCCTTTATAGTATATACAAACAAGTATAACAAGTCAGTTTCAAAACCACATTAAACCGATCATTTGAACAATCCTGCCCAAAGAGTTCTATTTTTTTGTTTCGTTTTTCTAAAGGTTTTCTCCGTGGGGCCCTCCCCAAAGAGTACCAAAACATTGCATTGGCAGATGTTGTGCATTGAAGATAATACAACAAATAAACACATGTTTAAAATCAATTCTTGCTTTGGCAAATGTTTTGCGTTGAAGATGACCCACGAATCAAACACATGCTTGAAGCATCTTATAGTATAAATTTCAAGGGAGTATATGCTTAGGGTGGTTCTTGGGGTTGACAATATATATATATAATGTAGATAGGTAGATAGAAAGATAGATAAATAGATAGATAGAGAGATAGAGAGATAGAGAGATGGAGAGATAGAGAGATAGAGAGATAGAGAGCTGGGGAGATAGAGAGATAGAGAGATAGAGAGATAGAGAGATAGAGAGGTAGATAGATAGATAGATAGAGAGAGAGAGATAGATAGATAGATAGATAGAGAGAGAAAGAGAGATAGATAGATAGATAGATAGAGAGAGATATAGATATAGATATAGATATAGATATAGATATAGATATAGATATAGATATAGATATAGATATAGATAGATAGATAGATATAGATCGATATAGATCGATATAGATCGATATAGATCGATATAGATCGATATAGATATAAATAGATATAGATAGATATAGATAGATATAGATAGATATAGATAGATATAGATAGATATAGATATAGATAGATATAGATATAGATAGATATAGATAGATATAGATATATATAGATAGATATAGATAGATATGGATGGATGGATAGATAGATAGATAGATAAAAATATAGATATAGATATAGATAAAGATATAGATATAATATATAGATAGAGATAGAAATAGAGATATAGATATATATATATAGATAGATAGATAGATAGAGAGATAGAGAGATAGAGAGATAGAGAGATAGAGAGATAGAGAGATAGAGAGATAGAGAGATAGAGAGATAGAGAGATAGGTAGATAGATAGATAGGTAGATAGGTAGATAGATAGATTAGATTAGGTTAGATTAGGTTAGATTAGATTAGATTAGGTTAGATTAGATAGATTAGATAGATAGATAGATAGATAGGATAGATTAGATAGATTAGATAGATTAGATAGACCAGACAGATTAGATAGATTAGATAGATTACATAGATTAGATAGATTAGATAGATTAGATAGATTAGATAGCATAGATAGGTAGGTAGATAGATAGATAGATAGATAGATCCTTTTTTTTTGGAACAAATTTCAGATTCTTTCGCACCTCAAGCGGCTGGAGAGATATGCTGTGGCAGAAGCAGCCACCAATTGCAATGACTCTCGGTCGTTGTTCCTGGAGACTATGGGATTTCCCTCTTTGACAGCGAAGAGATTTCCAAATCATGGCTATAATCTTATGATATCTTACGTAACACCTAAACCTGCAGGGAATATGATATCAAACTGCATCGTTTTCTTGGTTTAGATACCTCCCTTCAAAGAAAAATGCTATGATCGCTCATGATTCGCCAGGTTTCTGTTGGCACCCCTGGTCGCCCCATCAAAACGGGCAGCTCCTCATGAGTCGTTTCAGCAGGCCTTCCGCGGGCCACATCCCGGGATCTTGGTACCTGCAGGTCTGAATTCATCAGGATTGGCCAATGACATTGGATGTTTTTTTCTAGAGGCTTGATGGGGATACACTCGGAATATGACGGGAAAAGCAAGCAAACTACAGCATATACAGTATCTATAAATGAGGATATCATGGAGCTCCAGGAATATGCTGATATATGCTGAAACATGCAGGTATAGAAAGGTGATTTTGAACAGCACTGGGGAGATGACCATTGAAACTGACCAAAACGGGGGGAATGGGAACATATGATGATATATTCCCATACAATCCCATATTGAAGAATGGGAACACAAGCAAGAAAATGGGAACAATTGATTGCAGGCTGAAACTTGCAACAATGCACCTACAACGCGGTGCTGGGGAAAACTGTAGAAGGTATGGCCATCACAAATGAGGATACACCCAAAATGGAGGATAATCTACCCATGCTGAATGGTTTACAACAAACAATATCAAACAATACAGGCCCCCTCATGTTGCATATTTCATGTTCTCAAGACCTCCGAAGCAAACTCAGACATTTGGTGATTCTATGGATTCTATACATTCTGGATGCAAGTTTCTGAAATTGCAGCATCAGTTGCATATGCTGGGAATATCCAAGATTATCCCGGAAGATACAGAACTCATAGGTAGCAACTGCTTTGCAAATTATGTTCCCACCAGACTCCCAAGGAAAAGGGAGTAATTTCATCCCAGTCAACTCACCCATTCTCCACATACACTGTAGATCAGTCCAATCACACTTGATGTTTTGAATTGTCATGGTATCCTTCAATGAAAAGGCTGTTGCAAATGATATCCAAGGCCGTTGGGTGGTGTTCAAATGAGCTGCTTAAGAAATGGAAGGATATGCTGATGTCTATCACTTTGCTTTGGGACCCAGACCTTACATGCCCCTTACACGCACGTGTTTTGGCCTTACACTCGGCAAATCTACAGCATGTTTACAGAACGCAACCTTTCACAGCTTGGTGGTTTGCGCAGGGCTCGTGCTGATGCATCTGACTCACTAAAGATTAAGATGCATAACGCATATATAAACACATGTCTGTGTGTATGTATATTTGAGTATATACAAAAAGTACATGTATATGTATGTATGTATATATATATATATACGTTCTATGTTTCTATTGTGAGTATGTTTAAATCATAAGACTATATATGTATCAATATACTGTATATATATGATAACGTATATATCGGTATGATAGTATATATATATATATATTAAGTACATGTATTATAAGTAGAGAAAGATTAAGTATATCGTTTATTACTGTAGTATGCACATATAGTATTACTTAATTATATATACATCATAGGTGTGTATATATAAGTACATGTATACATACACACGGAGAGTCTATATCTACAAATACATATCATATGTGCATTTATGTCTACATGAGAAGTGTATTAAATAACAAACGATAAATATCAAAACAGTATAGTGTATATATATATATATTGTATAAATATAACCTAAAAGTACATTGTGTAGGTCTAATATTGCCTTATATTATGATATTAGTCTGTAAGTATAAAAGTATACATATATATATACTATATACTATATCTATCATACAAAGATATCATGCAAGCATGCCTATATATATATATGTCAAATAGGTAAAGTTGTTTCAAAACATGCATATATATATACTTATAGTCTTATTTATATGTATATATATAATTATACATATATATATATATATGTAGACAACCAATGTCCATTCAGAGCGGTTCAAACGCCCGTGCCTCGCCAACTTTCGTCCAGTGAACTTCTGCTTGGGCAACAGCCTGGTGGCAACAGCGCAACAGCCGTCGTGGGAAACTTTTACCTGGTAATTTAACCATTAAGAGTTGATAGAGGGCAAACTTTTCCCTATATACAATGGTAGAAATAAGAATATGGGGTAATAGCCAAACGATTAAATTGTAATATATATATATATATATAAATGGGTAATGTTCAATAGCTGTTACCATCAATAAGCTATTGAAAATGGTCCCTTGATAGTTCATTTACCGATCAAAACTGGTGATTTTCCATAGTTATGCAAACGTTTACCAGAGGGTAGATATTGGTTATTTTAATGTGTTTTTTTAGAATGAAGCAATATGCATATTGTGAAACTCCTCTGAAAACTGTTATAAAACAGGAATGTAATGAAATATCGCCAACTTAAACTGGTGCTTTGATGGTATTTAATGGTAACTCACCATGGGATCTGTGTGGGTTTCTCTGATAATGGGTACCATCCAAGTGGCATGGCTTTTATGGGAATAATAATCTGGTTGGTGGCTGAGCCACCCCTCTGAAAAATATGAAAGTCAGTTGGGATTATTATATGGAAACTCATAGAACATGTTCCAAACCACCAACCTGATAATCATTTTTTTGAATTGGGGTACCCTATAATTTCAGACAAAACCGTGACAAACCATGTGTATCTGTTTCTACATTCACCAAAAACGGCGAAAAAACCATCCACAAGAACTAGGGTAACTAGGGGATACGCCATTGAAAGCAGTTCTTCATGTGGATTTCTCTGATTTTTTTAAATGGTAGCCCCAAATCCACTAATTTTCATAGCCGTGTTCCTCGACGTTCACATCGCCGTCTTGAAGGTTCTGTGCAGTTCCACTGGCTGTGCAGTTCCACTGATAAGTGGATACATAACCATAGGACCATAGGACCATACAGTTGGGGATATAAATATAGAACTATAGTGCTTGTCACCATAGTTCTATATTTATATCTTCAACTGCACCCCAAAGTGACTGTATCCCTTCGCTGCTCAGATCTTCATGCTTGTTGACCTCCCCAAAACTGGCTGAGTAAATTCTGTGCGTTTGACAAAATCAACACACATCGTTGATTGCTTTCCCAACTTTGTTTGGTTGGATTCCATATCCAAGACCTTTAGACTAGACTCGATTTCTTGCTGTTGGATTCCATATCCAAGCAACATTCGGACTTCCATATTCATCACTTAACTGTTGCTTCGATGTTTCAGTCCGAATGTTGGCGAAACGTCGCCCCCGTTGAACGCCTTCGTTTTTCTCCATTGATTTCGGAGTTGATCATCCCTAGGGGCCAACCACACGGAACAATTCTGAAGGCTCTGAAAATATGATGGAACATCTCCAAATATGATGGTTTTCAAAATGGTCATTATATATATATATATGTAAATATATACATATATATATATTATGTGTAATCAGATTCCCCATGGAAAAAACTGGTGATGTTCAATGGTATTCCGTTCAAGCTCTCACTGAAAAACCCAGCCACTCATCTAACTCATCGAGGATCACCACCTTTTTAAGCGACGTGGATTTGGGAGATATAACTTTAAGCGACGGACGTGGATGGAAAGCAAGAGATAGAATGATATAGCATATATATATATAAATATAAATGGGGAATAGAATATAACCCATAGAATGATAGAATATATAAATGATATATATATATATGGATATAGATATATCTCCCCATATATATATATAAATATAAATATATTTATAGCATTTAATGGGGACAATACGGACTATATGGGGATGGGGGTGGGATATTCATGGATATATAGCTATCACAAACTTGACATGATATCTGGGTTTGTCTGAAAATAGGGGATACTAACAATTTTAGCAGGGAAAGTGGTGAGGAATCCATTGCAATTGGGGGTACTGTAGCCTGTTGAAATTGTCAAACACACCCATGGGAAACCTTCGGACATGCAATTATTGCTTGCAACAAATTCATGATTTTGAAAGAATATCGAACAACCTTCATCATTTTGGCTGGAATCCAGTTAAACAGATGGGCCATGGGGCACGGGATCAGTTCACTGGTTAGTGACTGGATTACAATCATTTACATACTCAGTTCTATGCCAATTACTAGCCAGTCAACTATTCCCATGGCCCATTTAAGTAGCTTATGGCTTCTATGTGTCGTTTGAGAAGGACTTATGAATCAACTTATGAAGCATTTCATGCACTTCAAATAAATCATCAGGAACAATAGGGATCATATGAGAAAAAGGTTGGTTTTGAGGAGGAAACAACAGTTTTTAATTTGACCCTGGCTACAAAAATCGGCATGTAAGAGAACTAAGGACAATTAAAACAAAAACAAGACATGCGGATGTATTTTTCAATATTCATGGATATTTAAGTAGCAAAACAACATGGATAAAACCAAGAAAAACATGGTTCCGTTATCGAACACATACATCTAATGTGAGTTAACCAAAACATTGCAGAACAAATGCGAGCAGAATCTGGAGATATGATAAGACACCACAACGAATTAAGTTACAACAGAAGACACAGATGGAACCCATCAAACAGTTTTGACATGTTTGGACTGGGGTTCCGGCGACCTAAAATGGTTTTCCATTGGCTAAGCTGAAGAGCAATGCTCTGATGGATCCAAAAACCAGCCCAGGTACGGTACGGTGGGTGCCCTGTTTGCCCCTCCGGGGGGTCTGAAAAGGTACGGTCATTTGGTGCGACTGAAAGGTGCGACTCTTTTTTGGTACGGTCATTTGGTGCCACTGAAAGGTGCGACTGCTTTTTGGTACGGTCATTTGGTGCGACTGAAAGGTGCGACTGTTTTTTGGTACGGTCATTTGGTGCGACTGAAAGGTGCGATTGTTTTTTGGTACGGTCATTTGGTGCGACTGAAAGGTGCGATTGTTTTTTGGTACGGTCATTTGGTGCGACTGAAAGGTGCGACTGTCTTTTGGTACGGTCATTTGGTGTGGATCCATGGCGAATCTCGGTCCATAGCAACGGATCCTTGCCAAGTAGCGAGGTCCGTTGCCATGGACCCATATTCACCCAAGATCCGTTGCTACGGACCGATATTCACCCAAGATCCGTTGCTATGGACCGATACTCACCCAAGATCCGTTGCTATGGACCGATACTCACCCAAGATCCGTTGCTATGGACAGATATTCACCCAAGATCCGTTGCTATGGACCGATATTCACCCAAGATCCGTTGCTACGGGCCGATATTCTCCAGGGATCCGTTCTTATGGTCTGACATTTGCCATAGATCCGTAGCAGTGCCCGTACCAAAAAAGCACTCGCACCTTTCAACGGTACCAACTGACCGTACCAAAAAACACTCGCACCTTTCAACCGTACCAACTGACCGTACCAAAAAACACTCGCACCTTTCAACCGTACCAAATGACAGTACCATATTAGCAACTGATATTGGATGATTTGTGGCAGATTTCTTCTGCAAATCATCGAATATCAGTTGCTAATATGGTACTGTCGTTTGGTACGGTTGAAAGGTGCGAGTGTTTTCTGGTACGGTCAGTTGGTACGGTTGAAAGGTGCAAGTGCTTTTTGGTACGGTCAGTGTTGCGGATCTATGGCAAATATCGGTCCGTAGCAACGGATCTTGGGGCAATATCGGTCCATAGCAACGGATCTTGGGTGAGTATCGGTCCGTAGCAACGGATCTTGGGTGAATATCGGTCCATAGCAACGGATCTTGGGTGAGTATCGGTCCATAGCAACGGATCTTGGCCGAATATCGGTCCATAGCAACGGATCTTGGGTGAATATCGGTCCATAGCAACGGATCTTGGGTGAGTATCGGTCCATAGCAATGGATCTTGGGCGAATATCGGTCCATAGCAACGGATCTTGGGCGAGTATCGGTCCATAGCAATGGATCTTGCGTGAATATCGGTCCATAGCAACGGATCTTGCGTGAATATCGGTCCATAGCAACGGATCTTGGGTGAATATTGGTCTATAGCAACGGATCTCGCTACTTGGCAAGGATCCGTTGCTATGGACCGAGATTCGCCAGGGATCCGCATCAAATGACCGTACCAAAAAACAGTCGCACCTTTCAGTCGCACCAAATGACCGTACCAAAAAACAGTCGCACCTTTCAGTTCAGTCGCACCAAATGACCGTACCAAAAGACAGTCGCACCTTTCAGTCGCACCAAATGACCGTGCCAAAAAACAGTCGCACCTTTCAGTCGCACCAAATGACCGTACCAAAAAACAGTCGCACCTTTCAGTCGCACCAAATGACCGTACCAAAAAACAGTCGCACCTTTCAGTCGCACCAAATGACCGTACCAAAGAACAGTCCCACCTTTCAGTCGCACCAAATGACCGTACCAAAAAACAGTCGCACCTTTCAGTCGCACCAAATGACCGTACCAAAAAACAGTCGCACCTTTCAGTCGCACCAAATGACCGTACCAAAAAGCAGTCGCACCTTTCAGTCGCACCAAATGACCGTACCAAAAAACATCGCACCAAACAACCGCACCGAAACACCGTACCAAAAAAAACCCACCGAAGGCGTACCCAAGGGGCACCCCGTACCCACGGCGAAGGGCTATCAGAAACCCATGTTTCATTGCTCTTGAACTTAGCTAAGTTTTCCAATCATTCTGTCGTAATTGAAGGTGGGTGTCGAAAATCAGGGCACAGGCAAAGTTGCACCTACGCCTCATTGCTTTTCTGCTCGAAATATATAATCCTAAGCCAGTTTGGTAATTTCCACTAGCAGATTGGCACGAGTGGCAACGCCAAACATAGGAGAACGTGTAATTGGCTACACGCCATTTGAAATACTTCGCCTTCTAGTTGTGCAGGCTAGCATCAACATTGGAATCAATTTCAACTGAACGTCAACATCCATTGGACTCAATTTCAACTGAATGTTAACATTCCACCCCACCCCGCCCCACTTCACCCCACATATTATTCAAGAAAAAAACATGTAAAGCAAAAATAGGCGAAGGATGAGTTGGAAAAGCCAACAACAACCTAACAATCACATAAATGCACGGAAACACGAGGCAAATTATCAACACGCCCTCCTAAAATAATGTCACCACGGGTCATGTTGAACATGTTTTTTCAACTTTGGTTGGTTTTCAAAAAAAACAAACGGTGTGGTTTGCACTCAAAAACATGTGATCTAAAGGTTGTTTCCTCTTTCCAAGATTTCATGTAATTCACTCTTGGATAGTAGACATAATTTCCCGTAAATATATCCCTTGAACCATTGATTCCCTGTCCCGCTGAGTTTGGATCTTTCCCTTTGGTGGATATCATCACACCCGTCCTTTTATGGATTTTTCATGATTTTTCACGGTTTTTGGACCATTTACCATCTGGTCATTGTAAACTCACATAGCGAACTGGAACAGAAAACCATGTTTGGTAAAGTTTGATAGGTAAATCAACCATTCATGGCCTTTCACGGTAAGCTACAGGAATTTCCGGAGGGTATCCAACGTACCTCTTCGTTGTTGAAACAACCATCATTTCCCCTCAGCATTTGTTGAGTTCCACCCATGTAGGGTCATGTATCTAGCGACAATCCCCATTGTTGTGGGTTGATTTTATCTTTTTTTGTTTCTGACCCATCTGGCTGCATATTCAAACCGCACATCTATGATTTACAATCATTAAAACATGCCAATGTTGTTTGATTCATATATAATTATATATATAATACACATTGAATCATATTGATCCATTGATGATACCCTCTGGTAAACATACAAAAAGCTATTGAAAATGGCCATAGAAATAGTGAGTTTTCCCATCAAAAATGGTGGATCTTTCCATAGCAAACCGTTAAATTACCAGAGGGTAATCATCCATTAAATCCCATTAAATCCCATTAAACCACCATTTTCCTATGGTTTTCCTATAGTTTTCCCATAGAACCATGGTTTGAATCGACATCTCAGATTTCACCATGTTTTTCACAACGACATGGCCGCACAAAACGCCGATGTCCCCGACCCAAAAAAACCGACCGTGGCCTCCACCCGACCCAAGAGGTCTTTCACCTCCTGGAACGAACGGAACGGTGATTTCGACTGATCTCTCAGTTGGAAAAAAAACCTCGTTAATAAACATTAATAAACATTATAATAATCCATGAATAATCCATGAATAAACCATGAATAAACCATGAATAAACCATGAATAACCCATTAATCAACATTACCCTCTGGTAATTTAATTTGTTACATAGCTATTGAAAATCGCCCATTTTATAGGTGATTTTCCTATTACCATGGGTATTTTCCATACCATAATTAGTTTACCAGAGGGTATCATGCCAGGTACAGTTCGCAGTCAAACAAAACTATGGACCAAACAACAAGTTCTTTGCCTTCAACGCAGTCAGAAGTCTCATCCAACCCAACGAGAATTTATTTAGGTTTACACCATCCGTACATCCAATTGGCGGCTGTGATGTTCCATCATTCCCAGTTGAGTCTAACTCAAGACTCAAGGTATCTTAGACAAATGAGAACCACGGCGACCCAAAATGGGAGCGCTGCACGGTTTCCCATCCTTCGCATCCTCATCATCAAAGACTTCCAAGATATCCTGATGTAAGAACGGCGGCAGTCACTCGTGAGGTGTCCTTCACTTCCTATATGTTTGAAGAAATATGCATGACTGCATGACCAAAAAACACTTTAGTCATGTACCTGCATGTTGCAAGAACATAGCTACATATGTTCAGTATCTCCACATCACATTTAACGCGTGTTACTACATCTGGGGGAATTGCAATAATTCACAAGACTGAAATAATTGACATAAATCTAGAGTAGCATGAATCGAAAGAATTAAAAGTCAATTCATCTGGGGGATCTGCATTCATGTTGAAATTGCCTCAAAATCTATGGCTGGATCGTTTTAAAGTTGCTAAGAATTGCCCGGATGCAGAAAACCGCTGCCGGCCATATTTAGGGTTCCATGCGAAAATGCCGTATTCATATCATATATATATATACATACAGTAATCAAAATTATATATACAATATGCATGCACAGTGTATGTATATTCATCTATGCACGTACGTGAACAAACTGCCCTTTTGCTTGTGAACATCAGGCTGTCTTGTTATTCCAAGATGCACATCATCTCTTCAAAGTGATTTACCCAGGTATTCATGGACATGTTACAGGAATCTTTGGCAATATGGGTATATACTCGTATAATATAGTGTATATATATATATATACACTATGAGATATATATATATATTAATATAATAATATATATATATATGTATATAATTATATGCACACTTATATCAATGCACTATCTATATGAACCTGACAATTATACATCGGATACAACCATCAACAATCGTGATTGAACTACGAAACACGGGGTACAAATCCCATCCGTCAATCATAATCCACTTCTCACACCTAGGGGCTGATTTAATGGCTACAACAATGGCACAATAAGTTGGGATACATATGGGGGCCCTACAACTATGCTTCTGTATAACCATTTATTCATGGAACCGCACCCCAAGTAGACTATGCTGGGATGTTCAACCTGGATCGTCTTCTCCGAAGAGATGATCCAGTTGCCAACTCCATGGTTCCTCATGTCAACTGCTTACCCTCTGGCCAACAAATGGCAACCAAAAACTATGGAAGATCAAACACTTGTGCAGTTGTGCATATGTCCTACTTAGTTTACCCTTCAAAAACATCTTGACATGTCCCAAAAGCAAGTGTTCCTATGAAGTTTTCATAGGTTCCCATGAAAAAAAAATATGCCGGAATCCCTCGTCAGGCAGCTGTGGGCGTTCCGATGATCACCGAGGCATCCATCAGGGTATACCATGATGCACGGGCGGACAAGGTGACCAAGGCGATAATGCCTTCGGAAAACCATGGGAAAAATGGTGGCTTAAACGTCCCGGATCCCGGCCCAATGATGTGATATAATGGGATCCAGTCCCATTAAGTGGATGACCAGATGATATAATCCCATCACCCGTAAACAGCCCCCGTTCTATCGTCCCAAATATGTGGTTTCATCCCCTACTAAACCATGGCTTCTGTTTTTTTTAATATATTAGTGGGTAATGAGATTAATATGTGCATTGTTTTCGGGTTCATTGTGGGATGATCTGGGAACATATGGGATATGGATCATGACATTTTGACATTTCCATATGCTATCTACTCCAGGATGACAATATATATGTATATATAATTATATGATATATATAATATTTAGATTATATACATAATAAAAATAATTATATATTACAAAGAAAATATTTATATATTAATCAAATATATAGGAATAATATTTATACACTATATATTATATATATAATAATATATTTATATATTATATATAACATAATATATATAATATAATATATAATATAATATATATATATATATATTATAATATATATATGATATAATTTGAAATATATATATATATTATAGGTTATATATTATATATATATAATATTTATATATTATATAAATTATATATATATTATATATTATATTTATATATATATATATTATATTTATATATTATATATATATATTATATTTGTATATTATATATATTGCATTTATATTTTATATAAAATATTGACATCTTATATATAATATTTATTATATATATAATATTTATATATATATTATAATATTTATATATTATATATAATATTTTTATATATATATAATATTTATATATTATATATAAAATAATTATATATTATATATAATATTTCTATATTATATATATAATATTTATATATTATTTATATATATTACATATATTATATATATAATATGTATATATTATATATATATAACATTTTTATTTTATATATATTTAATATTTATATTATACATAAATAATATTTA